TGGTTTAATGTAAGTGGCTATTGTTCGGGACGAACAATACTAAGGAAGGGGCAGTGTTACGACAGCGGTAGTCACGTGATGCTGGTAACACGTCATGATATTCTAGAAGGATCGAGGAACATCAAGAATAATCCAGTATGTGCTAGGCACCCTCTATTCCTGTATATAAGTGCGCCTGATAACATGAGACAAATTAATTGGAATTGGATTGCAGACAGGCAGAGATAAAGGCAGACAATTGAGTCAAGCGAGGTAGTGACCGTATATAATAGCGTGAATCATTGTGAATTATAGCGTGTGTTTAAAGTGACTGTGGAAATTAAGTGTATTGCAAAGTTGAATTGAGAAAGAATAAACTAGTTTTATTTAAGAAAGGACTTGTATCTATGAAGTTCCTCAGGAAGAATTTATACTGGGAAATTAACAAACGAACACTAGAGGCGTAACAATATATATATATATATACATATAAATTTTATCTATTGAATTTCACTCATGGCAATGCAGCTTTTACAAAGAATGTAATGTTCTCAAATGCATACTTTGTATGTTGATTGTGAATTACCAAAGCATCTTTCACCACCAACTGGCTCAGTGGTAAGCATCAGAGCTTGTAACCGTAAAACTCATAGTTTGATGCTTGCAGTGGCCACAGCTCAAATGAACTATTGTGTAGTATGTGATGCCTGCTAATTATTAACCTGTTGTTGTTATCAAAAGTTTTTATAATTTGTTCAATTATATTACAAGATTCTGATTACTGAAGGTTACTATAATTGTAATTACCAAGACTATTTTCATTTGCCATTTTGCTATCCTCATTTGAGCTGCATGGCCTACCTAGGCTAAGTTTCAGGAAGTAGGAACAGTAAGACTGAAGTTTCAACTCATTTGATTAGTGGCCAAGTGGGCCACACCTGCTACTTGCACTTCCCAAGTCAGTGAGCATATTCATGTGCATTCTGTAGTTTGCAGAAAAGTGTTATGTGGTTTTATATTTCTGTCTTAAATTGATTTATTGAACCTTGTGTTTTCTTAACATCATGAATTCCAGAAAAAGGAGTATTTTTGCTTCACGTGTCCATAAAATCAGAAAAAATGGGGACTATTTTTTTAACACTGACTGTATGGAATTGCAAAAATGGTATCTATTTAGCTACCCAAATTTCGTTTTACATTTATGCTACTGTAAATTTGTATTTATAACTGTTAGTTTCATTTAAGTTTAATATACTTAGGCCTAATAGTATCTGGATGTTACTTATTAATATCCTGAAGTCTAATGTTCATTCCCAGGTGTCTATTACATTCTAATATGAGTCATTAATATGAGTGTTTTTAATTTTAGCTAAAACAATGAAGAATTAACAGGTAGTCAAAATTAAACAAAGGGTAGTCATCAAGTTTTTTGCTATTTAATTTACTAATCTCGCCTGTCAGTCTTCCATTCTTTTCTTTTGATATGTCGATCTTAGGGTTGAGTTCTTACTCTTAATTCAGATTCTGAACATCTCATCTTTTACTGTTGATGAGTAAAGAATAAAAAAAGTGCCATCTTTTTTTTATGTTGGATATTTTTCAGTATTATGCTATTTTTTTCTTCATTTTCATTTCACTTTAGATTTTGAGCCAAAAATCAGTGAGAAAGGGAGTGTTTCTTTCTTTGGAGAACTCGCATGTTTACTTGGGAAATGCCTATTCCCAGTAGGCTAGACTCATGCTGTCTGGCTTCTGCAGTGCAGATTTGCCAACAGTATGGCTAGAAACACTGTACCCAAGTGGTTGTTCATTCAAAGTAATAATAAAATAGAAATAATATAAACTGCAGATATTTTTTCATATTCCATTTAATTTGTACATGATTTTCTCAAATGTTAGGCCTATTGGATTGTAATGCTTCTCCTGCTTTTGGCATTTAAACTTTAGCTTTTAATAGTATATATATTTTTTTGATATAGAGTGGCCATCAGCAGTTGGGATTGTAGTCTTTATTGATCCAGGTGCTGTGGTCTAAATACACCAGTTTCCTTCCAAATCGAGCATTTTTTAAGTTTTGTGATATTGTTAAAATAAAACATTGTTATATGTAATTAGAATATATTCAATATTTATGACAGAATACTTATACATATAAATAGGATATATATACATTATACCATTTAATACATGAATTAATTATGACACAGTGCAGTTAATTTTAGAGAAGAAGAATGTTGTTATTAGTAGCAGTTCTGAATATACTAGTGCGGAAAAAATAGCATAATTCGCTTGTGCCTTCAAGAGTCCAGGTCGGGGCCTGTGGTCCAAAAAAAATCTCACAAGAGTAGTTCATTAAGACCTAAAAAAGGAGAACTGACCGCACATTAGACTGCAGAGAACGAATTTTAAAAATTATAGACATGACAAATGATATATTCATTTTTTACAGTGTGTATTATAGTTAGGCTGCTTATTAGTTTTGTGTTATGTTGATTGGTCTTCAATGTGGGATATAGACAGTCTGCTTATTGTCTCCCAATGGCACAGCAGTATGTCTTCAGACTTATAATGCTAGAAGTCAGGTTTTGATACCCATGGTGTAAATGGCACAGATTGCCCATTGTGTAGCTTTGGTTACTGGTCTTGTATTATGTTGATTGGTTTTACTGTGGAGAATACAGATAGTCTGCTTTTTAGGCTTTTATAATGTTGATAGTTTTATGTTTGGTTAAATATTTAGCTTCGCAATCAACATTTTAAAACTCAAAATTCTTTGGTATTACAAATTGTTTCTACTTCTCCTACATTATTTTTGTGTGTGAAGTTTGTGGATGTACATAAGGATTACACTGCTTTAAAGTGTTCTGTTTCCACTGGTTCTTATAGCAAACATTATGTTAGTGATGGATTACTGGAGAATAATATATTTAAAAAATTAAATATATCTCAAGATATTTAAGTTAGCTCATATAAGTGAATAAGTATTTGGATTTTAGTATAATAGATCTATTTGTCATGTAAAAATTGTAAAAGACAGTCAAGAATCTGTTGGATTAATGTTTTTACTATATTTTGTAGTACGATGCAGTGAGAATAAACCAAATATACGAACAAGCAAGATGGTCAATCCTAACAGAAGAAATTGACTGTACTGAAGAAGAAATGATGATGTTTGCAGCCTTACAGGTAAGAATCAATTTTATAAATTAACGTATACTTTAATATCAAACAGTTTGTATGTATTAACCCTGAAAAAGCTGTAAAAGTGAAACTTTGGTAGTAATAAAAAACAAATATATTTACATCTGGAGTGTACAGGTCATTTATCTAAACTTTTATCACAATGTGCAAGTCCCTCCAGTGTGCACTACAAACTTTGAAAGAAAATAAAATTGTAAAAATGAACTGAACACTTTAATACTTAAACAAAAATTCTTATTATTATACACTTTACACTTTTCTGTCTGAGTATTTGTCTTTCTGTGTATATGTAGCAGTACTTTAAAATCTCATTTCTAGCTGAGCAATTAACTTGCTCAAAACTTGACCTTCGATGCTTGTTTTGTTTATTTCTATTGGATCTTACTGAAACATTTCTCTAAAAATGTCAAACGTGATGTTCCATCTCTCAAGTCTGTCGCACGTGTCTCCAACAATGTATAAAATATCATTGTTGTTTCATTATTGTTCTAATATAGTATACATATATTAAGTAGCTATACTAACATGTGACATATATTACTGAAATAAAGTATAAAAATAAAGAGACCTGAAATATATTTTATGATTAACTGAAAACACACAGACAGAAAATAGAAGTTGCTAAGAAACAATAGTAAGTGGAAAGGATTCGAAATTTACTAGCAGTGTTAAAAACTAATTGTAAGACTGTGTGGTACTCCAGAGTAAAATGTATTGATACAATTTGTTGTTCTGTGAATGGTGTTTTGGTTACATGTACCATCCATTGTCTCTGTTCATTTTTGGATTTTTCTCATTAATGAGTATAGCTTCCATATGTTTTTCTCTTTAAAATCTTTGTTTTTTTGTAAAATACAAACTTTAAATGGGTTCTGGGTTTTCTGTGTTTGGTGATCCATGTTTGTGTAGGAAATGTTCTGCTGGAGCAGTTTTGTGTTGGTTATGTGTATATAGTGCATTGATGTGTTCTGAGATGTGTGTGTGGAAAGGTCTTCTGGTTTCTCCTATATATGTGTCTCCACATGTATTACAAATGATTTGGTAGATGATGTTTTTGATGTGGCACATTTGTCCTGGTGTAACATTGTTTTTTGATACATTTTGTTTGCAAGAATGAAGAATGAACAAATAGTTCTTTCAGTGTTTGGATTGCTTTATGGCTTTATGAATCTTGTTTGTGTTTGTATCGTTTATGAAGGGAATGTTCATTGTTGGTGTTTTCGTGTAAATCTTTTTTGGTTTTGGGTCTGTTGCTGTTTTTAATTTTTTTTTTTTTTTGTGATTTGAAAACACTGTCGGTTTAGTATTTGGGGTATTCATTTATGAACTTACAATGCTGAAATATGGGTTTCAATTCCATGTGGCGGACACAGCAGATAGCCCAATGTGGCTTTGCCCTAAAACAAGCAAACAAACTTAATTTCAAAGCTGAGCCTCATTAATATGTGTTCAGACCACATAAAAGGGTGTCAATAAAGGACTATAGTAAAACAACTACTAGAGAAAGAAAAATGACAATATGTTCTTAGCAAATACAAAACCTATACTTTTAACAGGGAAGAAAAATTCTAAAACAATCAATGACTGCATTGTTTACAGTTGTTAATAGTAGCTATTTTAAGTGACTGTCAAAGAAACTATTAGAGTGAGAATAGTAATTGTGATAATTATCATTTAATATTGCAACCAGGTGCTAGTGGAACTGACAAATTGGGTTACTAACTGCAAAATATTGCCTATACATATTATTTAGTCAATTAATTTGTTTTACCAACCATCCTGGGTTAGATACGGCATAGTAGTTAGTGTGCCAGACCCCAGATTGGAAGGTCCAAGATTTGAGTCACTGAACGTGATCCCCATTTTTATCCATGTTTGCATTATAATGTAACAGTCAATCCCACTATTCAATTAAGGTTAGCCATATAGGTGGTGGGTCCTTGTGACAAATTACCCCAAACTGTAAGAAATTCTAAAATAGGGATGGCTGTGCCTAAACTTAGAGTTCTCTGACCTGGTTGTTTTGCCCATTTGTTGCATACGATGCCATTCTGGTTGAAATTTCCAAATACACACTCCTTCTAAATTCACTGTAATAATTTTCAATACTTATATCATTCTTGTCATTATCAACATTTGATGATTCTTAGTTTAAGAAACTATTTTGAAATTTTTACTACAACTTCACCTGAGAGTAAGGGTGGGCTGTTTTTAGTTTTTTCTCATTCAGATAAAAGATGGCTGACTTAAAGCAGCAAAACTATTGGGTGAACGTACATACAGATGTATAGTATAAAAATTAGCGTTAACTTTCTTCGAAACCCGACAGCAAGAAAGAAGAAAATTAGGTAAGTACTTTATTTCTTGTTTTTCATATTTATTCTTTATTTACTATTGTAAAAGTAACTAAAATCTCAAAATATGGATCTTTTTAAGTTATTTAAGACTAGATTAGGTAAAATAAGTAATAATAATAATAATATAATTAACTCTTTCAGCATGGGCTTGGTCCCTGGGACCAACCTCGTAACCATTTTGTGCTTGCTATAGTTTTCATGCAATAACTTTTAAATTAGTAAGCAAATGTTGATACTTGGCAGATTATCAGTAAACATTATAATGCTTTCATTCACAAAATATCAAATTTTATCAATTTTAAGGTTTAAAAAGCAATGTTTTTATCGTGTCTTTTTTTTTCTTCTCTCATGTTGCCTATCTGTCATGCAAAATAATATTCATTTTAATATATTAAAAATACTTTAATGCATCAGAAAATTTTCAAATTTTACATGTGATATCTTTATAATGTCCAGATAGTTATCAAACATTTCTTAAGAAAAACTATATGTTATCTGTTATTTTCAGTAATTAATTTCTGTATGGGTTCT